GTAGCGGATTAACATGTAGCGGCCTAAGGAAATGTAGCAGACAAAAAACATGTGGCAGACTAACTACACTGAAGCCTCAGTACACGTAGTGGGCGCTTTCTCCTTGGCGATAGGGGGTTCTAACTTGAAAAGCTATCACTGATAGGCTGATGGAATTACAGTCACATAACTATTTGTGATACGGTGTCCTAAGCTCAGTGCACTAAGAATATAATTAAAGGCAACTAGGAATGTACGTTTTTTTGCCCCTATGCTCTGTTCATCCCCTAAAATGAGTGGCTCTGCTTTGTAACTTAGTTATCTCAGGAATAAGATAGGAAAAATCTAATGTCTAATATTATTTCTAGGCATCAGAGTAAGATTCACTAGAAATTTAAAAGTGAAGAAAACACCACAAAAATTTAGCATATCTCTTTTGAAAACGTTTTGGAGACCAGATCCATCGTCAGTTCGATAAATCGCAGTTACTATCGCGCCCTCCTCATTCGGCTGTGCGCACTCACGCCAAACAGTGCAACGTTCCAGTGTCCGACACAGACTTTAAGGTTTTGGCTTATAGTTCTGATGCTTCCGATCTGCGTATTTTGAAATCATTGTATATTTTTAAAGAGAAGCCTAGTTTAAATGCTGCCTATAGTTCTTATCCATTAGAAATTGTGAATAGATAGGTACTTACTTTATTATTCTGCCCTTTGTCAGTAAATTTAGGTTTTTAACTTCTGTTTGTGTTTTTTTTTATTAACTCCAAACTAATTTTCTGCATTTATCGGTGTTCTAGATTTATCGAACTGATGATGGAGCTGGTCTCCGAAACGTTTTCAAAAGAGATATGCTAAATTTTTGTGGTGTTTTTTTCGCTTTTAAATTTCTAGTGAATCTGCGATTAAAGCAATCTAGTGACTTTTTTATCAGAGTAAGATATTTTAGAAAATTTTCAAATGTTGCAGCTCAATCCTACAATTTCATCAATCAATTGGAATTAATTCTATTGATTTTTTAAATTTCACCAATGTTGCCGCTTGAGAAATTTCAGGAAATCTGTATAGTTATGGCACAACTAGGGATCTGGTCAACTATGCAGGCTGTGTGACCAAAATAAACTTAGCTCAACACTTGTTTTGTATCACTTAAAAACATCAAATGCATCAGATTAATACAGCTCTTGTCTACTGGAACCACTTATCAATAAAAACAGTATAAATAGTACTGGTCTGACATAAAATTAGCAGGATTAATGACAACAAAATTGTATTGAGAGTTATTGCTTAGATTTTTTTTAGGAAACAGATTGTTTATTGGAGGCTTGTGACATGCCGTAAGTAGCATAGAAATTACATTTTGATCCACTACTGAAGCTTCAAACTCATTTCTTAAGATGCAACATTTCCATTAGATTAATTATTTCTAATAAAATCTTATACATATATGACAGAACAAAATTTTTGTGAACTTTTTTCCTGAAGAACATTATTTCACTTCCGATTCAACTCGTGGATTAACTTATGAATGACTAAGTGATGCATAGACATTTTTAATTTCCATGACAGAAACATGGAACATCTTTTTATACTAGGATATTATTTTGTTAATTCAGAGGATTTAGTTATTTGTGTCTCAATGTGTAGCTGAATGTATTGTAGCTCTAATGCGATAGGTTGAATCAGCTGCTAGCCTTGTGCGGGGTCCAAGTTATTCATTTCAGGGAACCACTGGTCTTGGATGATGGAGAACTCAATCTCTTTAGAATTAGTTTGTTCATTTGACAATTGACTTATCATCTTATGATTATTCTGCCAAAGGATTAAAACTGTGATTCCCATATTGTATTGCATTTATTATCTTCTTTTGTACATGAATTTTGAGGCTAGTCCATTTTGTTGTGCTGTAAATGAGGTATTAAGGTGAGGTAATTTTAGCCAAGTTACCCCTTGCAGGCAAATTATGTGTGCTCAGTAAGATGGTGGGGGTCTAATCATTTCTACTCAAATTCAGAGAGCCAGATCTGGGCTAACATATTGCCCAAAGCTAACATATCGTACAAAGCTTAACCAATTCACAGGCCGGACAACCTGTTGGTACAACCAGACACAAGAAAGATTTCTACCAACAAACTAAATATGGCGTAGGCAGAGTTCTTAGCTGGTCCCAGCTGCTGGTGGCGTTTCGGACGGCTAATAATAAAACTTTGGTGTAGTTAGGCAGAAGCTTTTCTTTTATGCAAGTTTGATTGAAGACCAGAGCATGCTTTTTATTAACAATCTTCTTGTTTGTTTTTTCAATGAGTCGAACCAAATTTCTTGCTGGCGTCGGGAGATCGAAAAGCAGGTTTCCGAATGACATTTTAATAGTTTGCGACGTTTCGAAAATACATTTTTCATTATCAAGCTGGTGAAGGTTTTACAACATTTGAAATTGAATTTGAAATGACTGAAGTACATATGAATGGTATAGTGGCTGTCTCTTATACACATCTAGATGTGTATAAGAGACAGCCCAAGAACCACATGCGGGAAGCTCACAATGAGACCATCACCCGAGCGACATTGGAAGCCTGCACCAGCATAGTTATGCGGTGCCCTGACCCATCGAGATTGACGATAGCTGAGGCTCTCATTATCAAGAGCGAGTCTCCGGCTATCAACCTCCAAACTACTGGATTCGTCCGGACGCTGAAATTATTTTCAGAGTAATTTTAAGTTTATATTTTGTTGTATCCACATTATTTATTTTATTGTATCCACTATACCATTCATATGTACTTCTGTCATTTCCAAATTGAATTTCAAGTGTTGTAAAACCTTCACCAGCTTGATAATGAAAATTGTATTTTCGAAACGTCGCAAACTATTAAAATGTCATTCGGAAACCTGCTTTTCGATCTCCCGACGCCAGCAAGAAATTTGGTTCGACTCATTGAAAAAGCGAACAAGAAGATTGTTAATAAAAAGCATGCTCTGGTCTTCAATCAAACTTGCATAATAAAACTTTATGCACCCTCTTATTGTAAGGGCTAATAAACTCTGTGCTTCAGTAAATTGTCAGTGGCTTATTGAGGGCTTGTACCCATCAATAGTTGTGCTTTTGGGGCATCCCTGCATCCCACCTTTGTGTTTTTAGTTTTACCCCAATTAATGCAGCTGGTTGTCAGCATTGTGGCAATGTGGTGCAGCTCAAACCTGTGCCCGTGCTGTCCACTGTGTCTCTTGGCAGTTTATTAGGGCTTGTACTCCAGATTACTGCAGCTGGTTGTCAGCTTTGTGGTGCAGCTCAAACCAGTACCCTTGCAACATCTGTGTTTCTTGGCAGTGTATTAGGGGTCAGTATGTACTAGGCCTATCACTAGTATGTTTGTATTCAAACTACTTTTGGGTTTCAATCAGTCTGTAAAATTGGGCAAAAAATAACCCATGAACAAGATAAAAATGCAATCCCAAGTCCAACTCCACCAGTTTCTATTGCCCTTGGGCTAGGGTAAACGCGGTATATTCCGACATTGTGGGTAATTCCAACACTTCTTGACTTTTTACATTTATATTAAGCTTTTTCTTAGTTCCATGCATTTGTTGATGGTTGAAATAGTGACATCATACTTTTGCGCACCATACTATTGCCAAAACACTAGGTCTGGGCCGTCTGGCGGGAAAATGTTGAGATCCAAAGAGAGACAGTGCGCGTCACCAGTGAGAACACCAAAAAATGTGTCAAAGTTGATAGTTGACCTTACTCTACCAAATAGTGATAAACTGTTCATGTAGAAAGAATATTATGGTTTGAGACTTTTAAATATGTCTGTGAATATATTAGGAATCCTTTTAGTATACTTGTATTTGCTGATTTCAAGTGGTAAAAAAATTAATAGATGATTAAGTTAAGAGACGGTTTTAGACACATAAAAACTAATTCCAACACAGCTTGGCATTAGACACACACAGCTTGTTCCAAGCTGTGTGCAAAAATTAAAATTTTCTTAGTTAAAAGCTTAATAGCTCTTAATTAAAAGCATAATTAAGTAGTGTTCAATATTCAATAGTGTTCTAATTCCAAGCTGTGTCGTATTCCAATACAGCTCACACAGCAATCGGAATTCCAACACAACTACACAAGAGTGTCAGCATTACAAATTAGTAGTTTGAAGCGCGGTCGGAATTAGTCTCACAAAATGCTGAATTTAGTCACACACAGTGTTGGAATATATGGATTATGGATTTGGTATGTTTGCATTCTAAAGGCTTTTAAATAAATATGGCAACATTTTGTGACATTTCATTGTTGCTGGCACGTAGTGCGGTGTTTTGAGAGTGACGTAAAGCAAACGGAACTCGAGTTGCGCATACAGTGTATTTTTTATAGCCATTCAGTTTTTGCTACATCCTTGAAGTGTCGGAATATACCGCGTTTACCCTACCCAATTTCTTTTCTGGCATGTAAGAAAAGAGTATATTTTAGCATAATTTTCTAAAATACATGTGAATGATGTGACAATGATGATGAAATAGCTAGTAGCCTAATCATTTTCTCCACACCTAAATTACAGCAGTCAAGAGGCCTATAATCATAATGGCAAAGCAGAGAGTTTTTTAGTCTCTCACAGTCTCACTCTCACTCAAGATCATTTTTGAGTCCTATAAGTAGACCAGTAAAATATCCTGGATACCAGCATCATCATACATAAGAAATTGGTTTAAATCTTGGGTAAATGAGGAAATTAAAAATGAACCGATTCTAAAAAATCGCTGGTTTGTCACAATAGCCTATATACAGTACAGGTTGAAAAAAATAAAACTCATAATAAAAAAATTAATTTGAAGCAAGCATGGCAATTTAGGCAAAATAACTAAGAGGAGAAAGCTCAGAAAGGTAGACGGTAGAACTGATAAACATCAAAACGAACGCCTCTGACTCTGAGGTTGCAACTTGCAAGTCCGTGACCCGGCTTCACTCGAACAAAAATTTACAACATAGGTAAACCGTTATTCGTTAAACATCGATATAATACTCACCAGAGACAGTTTTGGTATCCATTCTTGGATTTTAATGCGAAGGACGGTTAGTAGAAGGCAAAATTATCTTATAGAGGCACTCACGATTACACAATTTAGTTCTATTCTAGTACTAGTCTACACAGCTGCCGAAACTTCAGTGCACGACTGACTCAGCCAGCATCTGTCAAACTACAGTCGAAGTCGATTAACTAGATTTCGTCGCACGGTGGCGTGTTTGTTCCACTATAGTTTGATAGCACATCACATCGCGATACATAGCTGTGAGGTCGTTTTTAGAACAAAAAAAAATGCGTAATGTAAATTAAGAATGCTCGAGGTACTTAAGCTTTACGAAATCAAAATAACATTTAAAATTCTTACAACTATGTATAAACCAGCAAGCCATTCTGCAAATGTTTTTTGATGCTCAAGGCCCAGTGTTTAAAAATTCCGAGTAGCAAATTAAGCATTGGAATAGAATACTAAATAGAAGTGTCGGCATTGAAGAAATATGTCCATGGCCTGTTGTCGATTCATGAACTTTTCTTGACTTGATTCACAAGGGATCCGGCCTTCGGAACCCGATCTTTCCCTAACTGACGATTTATTGATATAGCTGCTGGACTTGTTGCCTGGTCCGTAATTTGCTAGGCATTTTAAGACTGAACATATGCTCCTGCATTGCTTCGTCTGGACTTATTGCCTGGTCCGTAATTTGCTAGGCATTTTAAGACTGAACATATGCTCCTGCATAGCTTCGTCTAGTCTGTTCTTGAAGGAGTTCATACTCGGAGCGCCAACGATGCTATCAGGGAAACTGTTCCACATGTCGGTGACTCGAAGCGAAAAGAAATGTTGTCGCATGGATGTGTTGCAACGCAGTTTTTTTAGTTTATAGCCGTGGCCCCTGGTGTTGGTTCTTGTTTCAAATTCTAGTAATCCTTCTGGGACCTTGTATAAACCATGAGTATACTAATATGCTTCAATGAGGTCCCCACGCAGACGTCGATACCTTAGGCTTGGAAGCTTCATAATCTTTATTCTTTCCTCATAGGACTTGTTTTTCAAGCTCTGAATTATCCTTGTTGCGAGTCTTTGAACACTATCCATTAACTTTTTGTCCTCTTCAAATTTCGGTGACCACACGTTTCCAAAAGGTTCAGGCGCATGACAGCAACAAACAACTGCTTCATCGCTTCTGCATCTAGGAACTCGAAATAGCGTCTGATCAGTCCAAGTCGTTTATTGGCTTTGTTAACTTGACCTTCAATATGCTTGGAAAATTTCAACTCATTGTCGATACTAACTCCTAAATCTTTTTCAATTGTCGACTTCGACATCATCACTCTGTCGTTGCAGCCGTGTCTTCTCATACTTTAATCTTGCTGTTCATTATTCTTGCCAAGGTGGACAACTTTCCATTTGTCAGCGTTAAAACGCAACTGCCACTTATCAGCCCAGTCAACCAGCCTGTGAAGATCACCTTACAACTGTACTTTTTGCGACGCATTCTTCACTGCATTATAAATTTTTGTGTCGTCAACATACATCGAGCAAACGCTAGACACAGCTTCTGGCAGATCGTTTATAAACGCAACGAATAAAATAGGCCCGAGAACGCTTCCTTGTGGCACGCCGCTGTGCACTGAAGTCCTATCTGATACGGACCAATTAATACTGACACGTTGTCGCCTCCCTACTAGAAAATCTCTGTTCCATTTGAGTACATTACTCTCAATTCTCAAAGACTTCAATTTACGCAACAGCCGCTCATGTGGGACACTGTCAAATGCCTTGGCAAAATCGAGGTCCCCTCCCTTTCGTCCAGCAGGCGGGTCCATTCGTTCAGAGTAGACAAAAGTTTAGTGGTGCAGGATCTCCCGGCAATAAAGCCATGTTGACAGTCTGATACGAGATTATTAGCAGTCAAATGATCTATCAATCGATCCCTCACAACAGATTCCATTAACTTGCAAACGACACTTGTCAAACTGAAAGGGCGATAGTTGCCCGGGCAGCTTTTGTCACCTTTTTCGAACAATAGAATAGAATAGAAGTGTCGGCGCTGAAGAAATAGGCCCATGGCCTGTTGCCGATGGTGGTGTCCTAGTCGAACACTCTCTGCAACAATGGTGTCACTTGAGCTTCTTTCCTGTCTGCCGGAAAGGTCCCTCCCTTCGCATTGATTTGCGGGTTTGATCCCTACTTCCTGCGACAGTTCTGGTCAAAACCGACGAGGTGAAAAGTCGATTAAGCGCGGTAGATATTGGAGCAGTGAGTTGCGTGTTCCGAGACCCGTAGATCGCTGTGAAAATTCTGAGATGTTCAGCATCGGCGTTAGGCCTAATGGCATAATCTCCAACGATGACACCGCTAATCCTCATCATCGAAATTCACATTAATTGTATCGGTATTTCAGTAGGAGTTTCAATTTCAGTAATCGCTAAATTTCTCTCCGCTGTCGTCAGAACATTCCAAATGAGTCTGAATAGTAAATTTTTACCATTATTTAGTTTTTCTCTAAAGATTAACTACCAAATTACGGTGTTTATTGCACATGGCCTCGTTCGCGAAATGGAGAAAATTATTTCCTACCAAACAATTCCTAATTTATAATTCAGAGAAGCAGCAGGTGCTGTGCTAAATTAAATTAAAACGTATCAGATATGCATGAATAATATCGTATTTCGCTTCTCAACTGAAAATGAATCCAGATTTACGATCACAACCCTGTTAATACTATACGATTCTAGCCATGACCTTTGTCGTGGCGTGTCATAATACTTTGTTATCCCTAAATTGTCAAATCCATAATATCATGAGCGGCTGAAGAAAAATAAATCAATAATTCTCAGTTTATGTGAAAAAAGCAATCAATACCCTGGCTGTAACAGATAAAAATTCAAGGTCATCACATAAGAAGACTTATTGAGAAAATAAAACACTGTCATACAACTTCATCAAGTTATGTTGAACCCTCATAAACTTCAAGACAGACGACGTGGAAAGCGGCGCTATCTTCACACGGACGATAGCGTCAGCTGGTCATGGAAAGCGGCCAGTAAGTAAAAACCTAAAAGGAATCAGTGGAATTAACAAATTCAAGACATCAAAACACCAAAACCGCTGGCAAGTACAATTTATCAAATACTTGATGAAAACCGTATTAATATTTTATGTAACCTAGCATTATCACAAAATAACGCAAAAAATACTTCATTACTTCTCCATGTTCTTTCTGAAATATACAAAATTCTCCCCAACTGATGTGATGAAAAACATAGACCACAATCACTCTAATATTATTATCCATTATCAATCAGAAAATCTGTAGAAAAAATTAAGTGATCAAGTAAAGAACATGAATAGCAGAGGCTCAAACGTCGCCCAATAACGCTTGAAATACGAGGATATCATACAGTTTCATTTCATTCAACAGTTTCCCTTAGCGGCTTGGCAGAATTAATCTCAGCTCAAGACCATTATGGAAAAAAACACTACTTTATTAAGATCGTTAGGAGGCAGCAGCTTTCTTAAGCTGTTTTGACCGACTTAACAGAATCTCCGCTGAAGATCGCCATAGAAAAAAATACGATGTTGAGACCATTAGGAGGTGACAGCTTTCCTAAGCTATTTTGACCGACTTTGAACAGAATCTCCGCTGAAGACTGCCAATAGAAAAAAATACGATGTTATGACCATTAGGAGGTGACAGCTTTCCTAAGCTGTTTTGACCGACTTTGAACAGAATCTCCGCTGAAAACCGTCATAGACAAAAACACTACGATGTTAAGGGCGTTAGGAGGCATTAACGGTCGATTTATCTTGCTTGGACTTCAAAGCATCAGGTCTGAAGTTGAGCGGCCTGGGCGTCATGAAAAGCTCACGGTCTGCATCGGTCACAAGCTTGCGTCTCTCCTGATGATCGAGCACCAGCTTCTGAAGGACCTGTTGGACCAAAAAGTTATATTTCAACCAAGCGTGGAAGTTATAGGTACAAATTCAAGAAGCCAATTTGCCACTTGAATGGTAAAAAAAACAGTGCTGAGCCCTCTGATTGCAGCCTCTTAAGGGCTAAAGTCTGTGTTGAGATAAATTTCATCTCAATAAGATCTACCTTATATTCAACAATTCCTTTGTGATATGAATGTTTAACATCATACAAATTCTAACAAATATTAAACTAATATTGCATTCAAAAATTCCACGACGTTGCCAATTTTCTGCAATAATGAAAGTAACAAATGTCATACAAACCTTCAATTGTCAGTGAATTGAAACATCAGGAGTTTTCACGCTACAGTCTTTAGCATAACACAGAAAATATATTTGCCAGAAGCAACAGCGCAAGAAAATCCGTCTGAACTCATAGCAACGATTGACCATGATTAAGTTAACAAGCTTACCAACAGAGATCTTATACCGGACACAATTGAGAATGATAGATAATAATTTTAACAATAGCAACACCTCAATAGAGTCTATATGAACTCACATCAATGAGGTGCGCCTTGACCTCGCCAGTGAGGAGTTCGCCCCTGGAATATTTGTCGATGGTCTCCTCGTATTTCTGGTCATCGTCCTCGAAGAACCTCAAGTACATACACGACACGTCCACCTCAACGTCCGCCCCCAGCGAGCGGTGCTCTTCAACCGTGTCCCGACCACCGGAGAACGCGTACTTGTTGATCTGAAATAAGCAAGAATTTGGGTCATGGCCCTTTTTAGCGCATTTTCTCATTTATGAAAAAATGCACTATTGTGCTCGCCATGTCCGTCCGTCCATCCGTCTGTCCGCGACTTCACGTTTTCGTCGATTCTGAGAAAATGCACTCTCTGTCACTCACTGCAGTGAAAACTGATATTTTTTTATCTTGACCTGAGTGTTGGTGAGAAGAGCAGAATTTTCCACAGTATCAAGAGCACCTATTGTCTCACGAAAAATGATAGTTACATGAAATTGGTGCATGTAAAGAACTTTTTCTTGACCTAACCTGAATGTTGAGGAGGTAACCGGAATTTTTCGAACTATCGACGGAAAGAAATTTTGTCATGATCAATGATTCAATCATTTAAACCTGATGAGCATCAAGACCTTTTTCTTGATCTGAGCCTGGGTGTCGGTGTGACCTGGACCTGAATGTTGGGGAGGTGAGCTGAACTTTTCGAACTATCAACGGAGAGAAATTTTGTCATGATCAATGATTAAACTATTAAACCTGATGAGTATCAAGACCTTTTTCTTGATCTGAGCCTGGGTGTCGGTGAGGAAGATGGAGGAGTTGGGGTCAGAGGCGCTCATCTTGGACATGGCGCCCTGCAGGGCGGGGAAGAATATCGAGTGCAGCAGCGACGGCTTCTGCAGCCCCAAGCGCGGGGCGACGTCCCGCGTCATCCGGAAATATGGATCCTGGGAAAACACAAGTCGAACTAAGTGCGTAAAGTTCAGTAGCAGTACAAACAAAAATAGTTACGAGTACGTAACTCCGTTAGCCAATCACTGACGGCATTTCAAGCTAAACCCACCAATTGCTGGTGATGAATCAGCCGCTGCGGTACTTAGCATGCTACTTGTACTAAGGCCGCTACGTACGTGTGATTAATAGACAAATTGTTACCCCTTGGTTGTCTGGAGAATCTCCGACATTTTCCGAGAATCTCCGAGAAAAAAAAAACTCATGCCCAGCTCTACTCTCCTACCTACACTTAGAGAACGAATGTCGCTGTGTCCAACTAGCGATACACTTAGGTCCCATGTGTGTGTCATACGGACACAGTTTGGCTAGGCAAGGGAGCGTATCAGTGCTACGTCTGTTCTCTACTCGTCCTATAGGTAAGAAATTGTGTCATAATTTGGACAGCATTCCTAAGTGCATGCCCCATAAGTATGTCACCTGGTCAATAGCGCAAGGGATGAGGCAGGGCACGTCCTCCCGGGTGCCGAAGATGGAGGGGAAGGAGCTACTGAAGGCGGGGACAGCCTGCACGGGCGGGAACATGATGCGGCCCGTGTTGCTTGACCCGTCGAACCCGAAGATCGCGCGCATCTGGTTATACGTGACGTGCTTGTGCACGCGGAGCACGTTCCTGGGCACGTGCAAATATTATATTATCGTATATTAAACATTATATTATAGAATTATATTATATTGATATCATTAAAAAACATCTAAATGTGTTTGTGCTATTTTTAATGGAATACAAGTATGAATAACCGAGAACCGGTGCTTAATATCAGATACAAACATCAATATCATTAAAAAAAATTACCTAAATTTGGTGGTACTATTTTTACTGGAATACAAGTATAAATAACCGAGAACAGGTTTTTATGATCAGATACAATTATCAATATAATTGCAAAACATTACGGTTATATTCTTGCTTTCTTTTTCTAATAAGGAGCAGGCGTAAGTTTAGAGTACCACTTATTAGCATTAGAGTACCACTTGGTCACATACCACCATCTGTAAACTTATTCATCACGATCAAATAAGAACTATTTTGAACAACCGCACACCGAAGAAATAAACTTCTACAAGTCATTTATAGCTTCATATCAGGTAGAAGAAACTTCGTCTAGTAACTTGCTTATAAACAATGCAGCGCAAAGAAATGTTGTTGAAATTCACGAAGAAAAATATTTCAACTCCTATATTGCGGTCTTATCTTTCGTTAAGATACCGCACCATCAAAACACGCTGAAGTACACGTAGCAGCCAAGCTCTTGTCTGCGGCTGCTGAGTTAGCTAGGAAATTAGTAACTAGTTCTGTAAGTACGGCCCCTTGTTGGCTAGGCCGCAGCAACGCTGGTACGCCGATAGAAAATCATCCTCCAAGCTGGGAATCTAACCCAGGCTTTCTGAGCCCAGGCCTTTTGAGCGCAGGCTTACTGAGTCCAGGCCTTTTGAGCCCAGGCCTAATGAGCCCAGGCCTAATGAGGACAGGCCATCTGAGCCCAAGACTCTTGAGCCCAGGCCTGTTGAGCACAAGCATTTTGAACCCAGGCCTTTTAAGCCCAGGCTTTTTGAACATAAGCATATTGACCCTTGGCCTTTGGAGCCCAAACCACAGGTATAAAAATCTCATTAAATGAGCTTAGATTACTCACCTGTAGAACTCGCTGCACTGAGCCATGTAGTCGAGATCAGAGAAGATGAATGTTTTGTTGACATCGAAGCCAATAGCGATGATGTCCTTAGCGTTGTCGTAGGCCATCTGATGACACTGGTCCAGCGTCAGGTCCTTCCACAGGAACTTCTCATCGTCAGTCAGCTGGATGACCAGGGGCACGTCGAACACGTCTTGCAGCCACCTGTACATACCAAGCCATCATCACGACGTGTACTAACGTCTTGTAAACACCTGCACATACCAAGCCATCGTCACGACGTGTACTAACGTCTTGTAGCCATCTGCACATACCAAGCCATCGTCACGACGTGTACTAACGTCTTGTAGCAATCTGCACATACCAAGCCATCGTCACGACGTGTACACACAACCACACACACCATCGTCACGACGTGTACTAACGTCTTGTAACCAACTGCACATACCAAGCCATCGTCACGACGTTGACTAACGTCTTACCGCCACCACACACACCATCGTCACGACGTTCATTACTTGACTCATTGTACCCTAAGTGGTATATTACGTCCACATTTATTGGCATTTGGATTCTTGGGAATTAACAGCGACTGTTAATAATGTAGAGGTGGCAACGAGCACTAGCACATGACCAACTTAGTCATTTGTAACGCAGGTAACCCACTTGGTCATGATCACCACGTGACCCACTTGGTCATGATCACCACGTGACCCACTTGGTCATGACCACCACGTGACCCACTTGGTCATGATCACCACGTGACCCACTTGGTCATGATCACCACGTGACCAACAAACGTGACCCACTTGGTCATGAGGAAGGGCACCAGATGTCCCAGGTGCATGGCGTCGGAGGAGGGCCCGCGTCCCGTGTACAGGTAGAAGCTCTTGCCCTGCTCCACCAGCGTCAAGATCCTGGTGTACAAGGCAAATTAATGACAATATCAATACAAAATATTATATTATAAGAATAATACGAATTATTATATTAAAAGTAAAATTAATGAAACTATGAATATAAAATATTATATTATAAGGCAAATTAATGACAATATCAATTAAAAATATTATATTATAAATATTACATAAGTCAAATTATTGAGACTATGAATACAAAATATTATATTATAAGTAAAATTAATGAGACTATCAATTCAAAATATTATATTATAAGTAAAATGAAAATGAACGAGACTATCAATACAAAATATTATATTATGAGTAAAATGAATGAAATTATCAATACAAAATATTATATGATAAATATAATACTAATATTATAAGTAAAATTAATGAGACTATTAATAAAAAATATTATATTATAAGTATAATGAATGAGACTGTCAATACAAAATATTATATTGCAAGTAAAATTAATGAGACAATCAATAAGAAACATTATAATGCAAGTGAAGTTAATGAGACTATCAATACAAAATACTATATTATATGTAAAATTAATGATACTTTGAATGGAAAATATTATAATATATGTAAAATCAGTGAGATTATGAATACAAAATATCATATTATAAGTAAAACCAATGGGAATATCAATACAAAACATATTATAAATAAACTTAATGAGACCATCACTACAAAATATTGTACTATAAGTAAAATACTGGGATACCAGCAATTAGATATAAAACTTGATATTAATAAAAATAATAGTGTAGAGTTACCTATCGAGCTCGCGGTGCGAGAAGAAGATGCCGCGCTTGAGGAAGTGGTGCGCAGGCTTGCCTGTTGCTGCCTCCAGCCTGCGCACCAGGTCTGGGGTCAGCGCGCTGCTGCCGAACTTCTCTGCGGAACATACATTAGTGGTGATTATTATTATTAGTGGTGATTATTAGCATTGGTGGTGATTATTAGCATTAGTGGTGATTATTAGCATTAGCGGTGATTATTAGCATTAGTGGTGATTATTAGCACTGTCTCTTATACACATCTAGATGTGTATAAGAGACAGATTCTGAGATGTTCAGCATCGGCGTTAGGCCTAATGGCATAATCTCCAACGATGACACCGCTAATCNAGAAGAACATATTCACAAATAGTTTTCCAGCCAAAGAAGGTGAATCTAAAATTCTTTTCATTTATAAGGAATCTATCTGATAACAGTAAACAGTACAATAATCAATAATGGGTTATCCTGCACCGATAAAAAATTACAATATATTTATAATAATTCACCGCACATCAATAATAATTATGACATAATTAATTCGCCCCACACTGATGATTATTCTGAATTATACACACAAAATACGGGCTTACGAAACTTGCACTAAATGGTTGCAAATAATCATCAGCCGGCCGGTGATTCATCAAATTTCCTAGAACACCTCTTAATAAAAGTTCCTAAAGCACCTCTTAATTAAAAATTTTGCAACCGGGCGACACGTTCACTATCATACACGACGCTGATAGCTTATCTGCAAGCGTCAAGTGGACGGCAAGCACAGCACGACTACCGAGTGCGCACCACTTAAAGAAATTAATGTGATTTGTCCAATTATGGATGCACTTTGATGCACTGCTCTCATGTGACTATGTGTCACGTGCAAATTCTAAAGTTATATAATCCGGCTATTAGAATTTGCACGTGCTATTCCGGCTATTAATGAATAAATAACGATTTTCTTACTCTGATAACCCGGCTTTTAATAAATAAATAACGATGTTCTTAATTTGATAGTCCTGCTTATAAGAAATAAATAACGATATACTTACTTTGATAATCCGGCTTTTAAGAAATAAATAACAATGTTCTTACTTCGATAATCCGGCTCTTAATAAATAAATAATCTTATCTATTCCTCGCACAGGTGCGGTTCGTGCCAGAGTCGCTTATCAGGGATAAACTCACGTGAGATTAGAAACGAAAATGTTATCATTGAACAGGGAATGAAACGTGGCCGTTATAAAAAATACGTTATGATACAAATGAGATTTTACCATTAAAAGTTTATCAATGAAGTGAAGCTAATCTTGAAGTGGAAGTGCTCAAGGAGAAGGCTGGCCACGACGTATATATCATGCAAGTTACTGCTAATTTCATACATTCTAGACTTAAAAAATATGTTCTGACGATCGAACTAATTAGAGGCGATAACTATAACTTAGTTTTTAAAACGCGCCTCTTGACTCCCTATAGAATGTAAGACAAGTCCACTGGTTTAAATGAATATTTGCTGGAATGAAAATCTACACTCAATTACCAAGTGAAAAATTTTTTACTCTCAGCAAAAAAGTGAAGCAGAACCAAGCGGTGTTAATGTTACTGAAATTTTTAAAAATTAAATTAATTTTATAAATATTCCTCAATGTGAAAGCCGATGATCCATACCATATCACTTAGATAAGTAAATAGGTCATAGTGTCCCAATAGTGACGCACTTTCTGCACGTAGCACTGATACACTCTTTTGCCGGGCAAAATTGGGCCAAGAGGATCCACATCAGGACACAATGTGCATCACTAAGTTGATAATGTCTCACTCATTTCCCTGAGTGTAAAATGATGCAACAAAAATCTTCACGAGGCTCACACTTTTCAACGAACGAACGAACTAAATAAATGAATAAATAACAATTAAATAATTCTGCCATCAATGTACACTTCGGTGAATCTATCACACATAGCCATACAATTTCTGACAGAAGGTGGGTTTTGATACACTCGGAGAAAATGAAGGGCCATTGTCCAAATAGCGATGCACTCTTTGGTCTTGTGTAGGTCATCCTGACATAGTTGTGACTAAGCAAAAGTCAACGCTACATGCAGATACGGTGCCATTATTTGAACAATATGAGACATTCATCACTCTGAGTGTAGGATGAACCAACGTCGCGATGTGGGGGCAGATTGCATCACCGTTCAGTATTTTTCATTTTTGTACCGGACACGAAGAATGACTCTAATAATATCGCTAATATATGAACAGAATATCGCTAATATTCGAATATAATATCACTAATATTCGAATGTAATATCACTAATATTCGAATGTAATATCACTAATATTCGAATGTAATATCGCTATTATTCTAATATAATATCACTAATATTAAAAGATAATATCGCTAATATTCAAAGACAATGTCGTAAATATTCAAATAAATAACACTCAAATAACACTCGTAAATATTCAAATAAATAACACTCATGCTTACCGAATCCGAGTCCGACATCCTGTTTGCTTTATTAATAAAATGCTCTGAAAGACGAAGACAAATTTAGCATTATATTATATGTAGCATCATATTATACGTAGCATGATATTATACGTAGCATTATATTATGCGTATACGTAGCATTATATTATACGTAGCATTATATTATATGTATAAGGAGATGGTCTGATACCAGTAAAAATGAAAATAATCAGCGATGATTTATCCTGTACCAGTAATAATTACAACATATTAATTACCTAATACCATTAATATTTAGGATGTCAATTATAATTTATCCTCTACTGATGATAATTACGATAAACATAGCCTAATTAAATTGCGGCTAATTAAATACATCTTACAACAAATTGTTTCAAATACTAAATGCCAGATTATTGCTTCACAAAATTTCCTAAATTGTATTTAAAAATTTTAAACCAGCGTCTAAATGAACAGATACGGCACTGATAGCCTATCTGCAAGCGCCAAGGGCAGGGACCCCCACACACGACACGCATGCGGCCCACACGGCCAGCAGCGCACGACTGCCGTGTGTGGGGCGTGCGTCACGCTCTTATATACTCCACAGGAGGGCGCGGTTCGTTCGTTCCTTATCACGCATAAACTAACATTTGAATATAGAACCTAAGATGTCTTCGTTACGAATGAAAACGTGCCGTTCGTTCCTTATCACGCATAAACTAACATTTGAATATAGAACCTAAGATGTCTTCGTTACGAATGAAAACTTTCACTCAGAGTAACGATTGTATCATATGTCCAAATGATGATGCACTATCTTATCTCTGCAGTGATACGCGCTATTGTGCGCCCAAACTGGGTCAGGATGACCGACAGCAGAGCAGAAAAAAATCTTACCTTAGACTAAGTCTTACTCATTCTACTTGGAGTTTTGTTAGCACTTCTTTCAATTATTTTCTTCGTCAGTCTACGATTTAATCTATCAGTCTATATACTCTTCCAAATAAAGGAAGAATAAATCGATATTTTGGTGGACGGTGAATCTTCACGGTTCAAGCGCCTCATTATTTGCACATTTTGGCACATGTATTTTTATGAACAAATTTTATAAATAATTACCGATTTTTCCCTTAATAAGTATGACGAAGTAAGGCAAAAAACTACAGACATGCGTTCGTTATGAACTGGGAATAGAACCAACACAACGAATCCAAGAATTCATAATATCAAAACCATTCTTGTTCTCAGAGCCGAGACCTGTGAGTAATTATTGAATACCAAATATTACGAGAACAATATTTAAGCAATTATTGTACAAAATAACAAAGGAAAACAATACTTACACAATTATTGTACCGTGTACAAAATTTTAGGAAAAATAATACTTACGCAATAATTGTACATTGTACACAAAATCAAATGAAAACAATACACAATTGCTCTGCATCACACTAGCTTACCTTAAGTCGTGGTTGAACCGTGCGTCGTGAAGGCGGGCTGGTTGTTGGTTGTATGGCACGGCAGTGGTTGTACCAGCGGCTCAGATGGTGCAGGTGGCTAATATCTTGGTTGTTAGGTTGCAGCTGCTTTAACAGCTGCACGTCAGCTGCACTCAAGCTATAACCTGACACGTAACTTGAGGTGCAGAAATGATTGTCCCAATCGCATAACTCTTTGGCACTTAATGGCATATTCTGTATAGAAATAAGAACGGTTTGATCCAAGTGATTTTATGAGTGCATGGGCAGTGGGATGATGGTATGTTGGTTAGCGAAAATAGTACATTTGATAGGAATAGAAAATGATGAAATATTATTAATTTGAGACCAAGAATAATTCGCAGCTGTAGAACATACAAATCTACGGCACATTTCACAGCCATTTCATTAAAACTTCGTTTGTAGGTACGAATAACATTGACGACGGTTAACGTATCCGTAGACAAAAGGTTACCCCTTTGTCTACTGATGTAACTCTCGTTACCAGACCTTTAGTTACGAATAACATTGACGACGGGTAATGTGTCCGCGTAGAGACTTTAATATATTCGAGTGTATGAAACACTCAAGTACAGCGGATGTCTTATCTGTCTTCGCACCACCACTCAGAGAAATGAGTCAAACTTTGTCCATAGAGTGATGTGCTTTTTTGCTCTTCGTGTGTCATCCTGATTCACTTTGCCCTAACAAAACGGCGCATAAGTGCTACCTCCGTTCACTATACATGCATGTGCTATATGAATTGAAGTACCTATGTCACTATTTGGACATATATGACTCATTCATACTATTTAAATAACATGACTCATTGATACTATTTGGACAACATGACCCATTTTTATCTTCGAGTGGGTGCTATCGAGCACAGAAATAAGACCGGACAGAGAACGTTCGCTAATCTTTTAACCTATTAGATATGCAAACTTTTTAAATCTTTCTATTGTGTTACGTAGCCTCAGTATTAGGCCTTTGATGGCCATTGACAAAATTTTTCTATGTCAAATAGTTTTTGAGTTTTGGGGGTTTTTATTAAAAAAAACGAAAAGTGGTCAAAGTTACCCCGCCGGTCAAAGTAACCCCATTTTACGGTACTATGGTAATTCATTTATTTGTGAGCATAGAGTGTATTTGCACTTGTTAAAA